GGTAATAAGAAGAGTTATGGGCATTGCTTTTGCTGCTGGGTAGTGGCAGAAACACCGTAGGGCACAGCTCCACTTTGTGCAGAAGCACACCTGAGGAGAGCAGGGGGGAAGGGAAAGCACGTCAATACTGGATAGATTCTACGTCATAAAGGAGCAGATATACTATGTTCAGAATGTACTGAATATAATATTTATAGTACAGACATGTGAATGTTCTGGGAGTATATAACATTCTAGAAAGATTTCAATTAAAAAAGACCTAAAACTTAGCCTTTGGCATTTAAGGTGCTAACACTAGTTTTCAGGAAGCCATTGATTCACTACAAGTTGAGACTGTTTTGGTCACATTTGCATTTATTTTCTTCCTATGAGAAACTAAGTCCTAAACCTACTTTCCAATGCTCCTGTAAGAACAAATGAAATGTGGACACAGCAGGCTATCAGAACAGTGAGGGGATACAGACGTGTTCACAGAATGGTGGTGGGGGGGGTGGTGTTGCTTTCTTTCCTGAAGAAGAGTGTGACACAGACATACAGTCAGATCCAGGAGCATAAGCCTGTTACTGAGAGGGCAATATTAATACTTCTTCTGAGAAACATGTCAGAACATTATCACCCCACTGGCTTTCAGGCTTACTTTAAATGACCCTGAGGTGAATCAGATAACAATGCAACTCTGACCTTAATCTTGTTTGCAGAACTTTTTGTCATCCCTCAGAGTAAATAATCCAACACCTGATAAAAATCAATAGAACAGTCCTACAAAGTATTAACTTGAATTTATTTTTTAAATGGAAAAACAAATATATCGAAAACAAGTTCCACATTTCATAACTCAAACATAATTTTTAAAAATTTAAAATAAAATTTTCTTAAATTTGAAATATTTAAATTCAAATAAGCATTTGAATGTTTAAAGCTAAGATCTGGTCAAGGTCAAAAAACCCTTCAGAAAACTGCTGGCTGAGTTTCAACATAGTTGAAGGCTAAATGACCAGCTCTGAGAGAACATGTAATGAGAAGAGAACCCACTGAGGTGAGGCTGTGTGTGCCATCACTGTGGGGCTCAGCCTGGCAAACCCAGAGCAGGGGCTGGAAGCAGCCCGGAGGAGCTCCAGGAGGTGGGGTGACAGTACAAGATTACTAAGCGTGGGGTCATGGGATCTGGGGGAAACAACTAGGAAAGAGGAGTTTGGAGACAGCAAGCAGCAGCATGTAATGTGAAGGCGTTAGATAGCTAAAGCAATCTAACTCCAAACTTGGACTTCAAAAGAAATGGTAAAATTTAAACATTATTTTTCTATTGCAATCTTATACTGTAAAATGATGCTTTACTATTTTAAACTCTGCTCATGAATCAAAAGGGCTTCTTGCTCTGGCGTGATCTTTATTATTGTTTAACAATTATTTCCAATGCAGTCAGTGAATATCTTGGATGAACAAATCCTTAATTTCCTACTGAAAGACAACATACATGATGATGTAACCTTGGAAAATTAAGCATAAAGCACAGTATTAAATGTGAAAGGGCACCTTACTAACATTCTGACAACTGTGACTTCATTATCAAAAGATGATTACATACATTCTCAATCACGGCAAGCTGTTATAATCAAGGTACCCGATTCTTAATATATTTCCCTCTCTCTAATTTTTCCTCAGACTCTGAGGAAAAGGACTGCATCGTAGTTAATGAAAGAATCCAGCAATTTAAGCAAAAAGTCTATGATTCTTTAAAGAGCATTTCAACTAAAATGTTCTAGTTTACATCATTCTATGGAGGAACTTACCATGACCTCACTCAAGAGAATCTGCAAAAATGGGTATAATGACCTATTTTTCTAGTGAAACATATGTTGTTAAGGGTTTATCCTAAATCCATTATTTGAGGCAGATGATGAGAAAGGGAAAACGGAAAGAAGATTGCTGTATAACTCCTACTTTCTCTACCTCTTCATGATGGACGAGAGAATTCGTGGGAATGAAGCTGGGCTTGGAGTCTAGCTCATTCCAAGCCCAGTGTTCTGAGCTCTCTAATTACCTCAAAATAAAACTTTCTTGTTGTCACGCCAGCCAGAACTTTGGCAATCATGATACTTCTTGTAAATTTGCACTTTAAATTTTGTTTCCCAAAGAATAGTATAATGATCACAAAGGAGGGGCTAGCGGGGTAACACCCTTAACTGGTATTCAAATTCTATTTTAGAAAGGTAGAGGAGGGGTGAATAAATTACTGACCTTATTTGAAAATAAACAGGCAAGTTCCACTTATTATTGAAGCTGTGATAGGCAGGATGTGCTCTTAATCTTTTTACACTGGCCTGTGATCCACATTGCCGTTCAAATGTTCTTACAAAATCCATACTTACGGTATATTTCTAAAATAAGAACAAACAGGTGGAATTTTCATTGTAAGCAGACTAACCAGAACTAGGAGCATATACTGAAAACTATAATCAAGATAAAGAAGGTCAACATGTAGAAACATAGTTTCTAGAGCTGATAGGGACCTTTAGGGACCTTCCCTCCAAGGTCGCCACCTGAAGATCAGGTAATGCGTGAAGCGGTTACACGTCATGCTCAAGGGCTTATGTGGCCAGCCCATCTGGAAGCCCAGGTTATTTATTCTAAGTCTAGAGCTCTTTAAATGACAGTGCTCATATTCTCGGGCACCCCTAACCCCATCCATTGGAATCAAAAGACATGGTGCATTAGGTGGCATAATTTTCATTGCCTCTCCAGAAGAAGTAGAAAATTTTAAAAAGGAAAGAATCAAACTATGTGAGTAATTACATTATTTTTATAGACAAGACAGCACAAAAACAGACAGGAGAATCTAACAGCACCAGTAGAGCTGCAGCTAATACTTATTTAACATTTACCATCTCCACACTGTGCTTAAAATTGTACTATTTAATTTTACCCACAAAACTACTCTACCAGGTAACTACTATCATTACCAACCCCCATTTTGCAAATGCTTAGGCTCTTCTGTTTAGGCTCAGAGAGAATATGCCCAAAAGACAAGGCTAGGAAATAGAGAAAACAGAACACTGGTCAGTTGGCAGAAAAGAGCTGCAGCTGCTATAATGCACATACCTGCCTCTCGTGGGTATCTATCCCTAAGCCCCCAGGCTCTAGGGAGAACACTGCTGGACTCTCCATATACTCACTAGGAGGGGCTCAAGTCCAGGTCATCAAACCCAGCAACCTAAACATGCTGATCTCTGTGCTTATACAGGAATTTTAGTGCTGTAAAAACTAAAGGTTTTAAATTTTTTTCAACTGGTTTTGAGCAACACTTATGGAATCCTGAGTGTGGTCTAGGTGTGTGGAGTTGAGACAAAGAAAGGTATTATTCATCCCTTTTGGGATAAAACTATGCCTCTGCATATAATGGATGCTAAAGGAATACAAGCATATTTCCCTCTTCACAAGAAGCATGTCACATTAAAGCCAAAAGCATTTTTTGAAAAAAATTGATAGATACTTGCTGGAAACTGTACTCACAAACATTAAGTATTGCTTTAGAATTCTAAAATCAGAGTTCTATTAGAAAGCTTCATTTCTGAGCTGAAACATCTCCTGAGTCTAACATGATCAATATGATTCTCTAACGAATACAGCAAAATGTAAAGGGTCTTAAATTGCTAATGCATAAGACTGTTATTTCACTATGCATATGGTATCTAGTTTTAAAAGTCCTACTTTTTAAAATCACAAAAACCATTGTCACACAATTTATTGAAAATGATACAGAGTAATCATATTGTTCAACATACTGTAACATAGGGCAATTAGCCAAGAGAACAGATAAGTGGTATTTCTGGGACAATAAAGCTTCAAATTTATTGGCCTATTTTTAAGTCTATCAGGCCTCAGGCTCACCATACTTACCTTGTGCCTCTCTACACTTTAAAAATTAATAAGTAAATTGACCAAGCAGATTAGAAAAAGAAGCAAGTAGAACTTCTAAAAATGATAATTAGGATAATTAAAATTGGAAACTCAATGTACAGGGGAAAAAAGACTTTAGACACAACTGAAGAAGGAATTAGTGACCTAGAAGACTGATCCCAAGAAATTATCCAGAATGCAGCACAGAAACAAAGATAAAAAAATATAAAAGTGAATTTAGGAAACATAAAGGATAAAGTGAGGAGATCTAATCAAGAGTTCTAGAAGGAAATAATAGAAGAATGGGAGAGAAGCACAATTAAAGAGATAAGGGATAAAAATGTTCCAGAACTGATAAAAGATGCCAATCCTCAAATTCAGGAAACTCAACAAATCCCAAATACAATAAATAAAAAGAAGCCACACTAGACATACCATAATGAAACAGCATATCAAAGTCACAGAGAAGATTTTAAATGCAGCCAGATATAAAAGGCATTAACTACAAAGAAATCACAATTCAATTAACAGCTAATTTCATAAGAGAAGTCAAAGACAATGTTCAAAGTACAGAGAATTCTATTTCCAGCAAAATTACCCTTCAAACACAAAAGCAATAAAGTTATTTTCAGACAAACACAAACACACACACACACACAAAATGAAGTTTATTATCAGCAGCCCGTTACTAAAAAGTTGCCTCCCAGATGAATTTCAGGGAGAAGGAAAATGATCCAAGAAGGAATATCTAACATCCAAGAAGGAACAGTAAGCAAAGGAAATGATAAACATGCAGGATAATTCTGAGAGAATGATGACCATGAAAATAATGCCTTATTCTGGGGATAAAAAAATTTAAAATAGAAATAAGACCCTGGAAACAATAATATATACTATGGAATGGGGTGATTGGTATTAAAGTGCTCTAAGTATCCCGTACTGTTCGGGAGGCTAAGGAACACCAATGAACTTTTAGATTCTGTTAAGTAACTACTAAGATTACTTAATACGCACAGAAATAAAGGACAGAATTCCAAATTAGTAGAGAAAAAACACAGAATAATCCCTAAAAGCCCAAAATACAAAGAAGGTGGAAAAGGAAGGAAGAAAAGAAGGGAGGAAGAAAAGAAGGGAGGAAGGAAACGAGGGAAGAAAAGTGGGAGAAATAGAAAGTACAAAATAAGACCCAAATATATCAGTAATTACAATCATTGCAAATTTAATAAATTACCTAATTAAAAGACAAAGATTATCATATTGAATAAAAAAATCAAAATCAAGGGAAGGAGGAGGAGCATAAGCCCGAAGAGGTTGAGCAACACAGGCAGTAAGCCGGAAAGCTAGCACAAGAGTCTTTATTCTTCACCATGATGCTATGCACTGCCTTAAAAAAATGGTACAACAGAAAATCAACATATGAATTTACTTGTGAAATATCAACCATGAAATCTTTTTTTTTTTTTTTTGTGGTGAGGAAGATCAGCTCTGAGCTAACATCCATGCCAATCCTCTTTTTGCTGAGGAAGACTGGCCCTGGGCTAACATCTGTGCCCATCTTCCTCTACTTTATATGGGACACCAACACAGCATGGCTTGACAAGTGGTGCATCGGTGTGCGCCTGGGATCCAAACCCGGGCCACCAGCAGCGGCGGAGCGCGCGCACTTAACTGCTATGTCACGGGGCCAGCCCCTCAACCATGAAATCTTTTAAGTGATAATTTTTTTTTAAAGTAAATATTAGGGCCTCCAAATCTTTTAAATTATATAGGACATTTATATACTACATTTTAAAATCCTATCAGTACTTTTTACAGTAGAGATATATAAACTTAATTTTTCATGGAAAACAACTGCAAAGAGACTGGTCCTTACAATCTCTTTTAAAAAGTTAGTGAGCGGGGCCGGCCCCGTGGTGTAGCAGTTAAGTGTGCGCGCTCCACTGCTGGCGCCCTGGGTTGGGATCCCAGGCGCGCACCAACACACTGCTTGTCAGGCCATGCTGTGCCGGCGTCCCACATAAAGTGGAGGAAGATCGGCATGGATGTTAGCTCAGGGCCAGTCTTCCTCAGCAAAAAGAGGAAGATTGGCATGGATGTTAGCTCAGGGCTGATCTTCCTCACACACACACAAAAAAAAGTTAGTGAGAACAACAGGGGTGATGTCAGCATCATGGCAGAGTGAGCTGTTCCCTTAGTCTCCCCCCTCTAAGTTACAACCTAACAGACATTCATGAACCAACAGGGGATTCCCTACACAGCACAATAGGACGTCTGAGAGATCCACACAGCCATACACCTGAAGCTGGGGGTACGGGATCCCCAGGAAGCAATGGAAGGAGGAGAGCAGATCCTTTCCCAGTCCCCAGTAGCAGCGATCTAGGTCGCAGGTCGTCACACAGTAGCCAAAACGTTCCTGCAAAAGGAGGTGGGGGAGCAGGCAGGCCTGCCCACAATGCCTTCACTTTCAGAGTTGCAGCCCAGCGCGCAGGAATGCTCCACACCGAGTGGCATGGCTCAGCGACCACATGGGCGCCCCCACCAAGCACAGCAGCCCAGATGAACTGTCCATGAGAGCAGAGTACCCCTCCCCTCCCATCCAACACAACAATTCGGCCGGGCCCCCGGCCAAGGTTCTGCACCAGAGCACCTGCATGTCTGTGTGTGATCCGCCAAGTGGCTGCAGCCGGCGGGCAAATGCACACAAGCCCTATCCGCACAACTTCCAGCAGACACGGCGGGTTCAGAAAACACAGCTCCTACCCACCCCCCAGTGGTGGCAGGTGGAATCAGCGACCTGATACTACCACTATGCACCAGTAAGGGATCACTTCCTCAAATACCATGAAGAACTCCAATAACACTTCAGAGCAGAAGGAAAAAGACAAGTCTCCAGAAACCAATCCTGAAGTCACAGAAATTTATAATCTAAATGACAGAGAATTCAAAATAGTTGTCATAAAGAAACTGAATGAGTTACAAGAAAACTCAGACACACAGTTCAATGAACTCAGGAATAAAATTAATGAACAGAAGAAATACTTCACCAAAGAGACTGAAGCTCTTAAAAAAAAAACCCAAACAGAAATTCTAGAGATGAACAACACAATGAATGAGATAAAAAGCAATCTAAAACAGAACTGATGTTATGGAGGACAGAATTAGTAATTTAGAGGACAGAAATATGGAAATGCTTCAGTTGGAGGAGGAGAGAGAAATAAGACTTTAAAAAAATGAATAAGGGGCCGGCCCTGTGGCACAAGCGGTTAAGTGCACGCGCTGTGCTGCGGTGGCCGGGGCTTTGTCGGTTCGGATCCTGGGCACGCACCAAAGCACCACCTGTCAAGCCATGCTGTGGCGGCATCCCATATAAAGTGGAGGAAGATGGGCATGGATGTTAGCCCAGGGCCAGTATTCCTCAGCAAAAAAAGAGGACGATTGGCAGATGTTAGCTCAGGGCCAATCTTCCTCACAAAAAAAAAAT